CACCTGCGCCTGGTCTTCCTGGCGCATCCCCGCATAGGAGGCGCCAGTGTATCTCGAGGAAGCGCGGCCGCTTTGTACTCTCCACTTTTCTTCGGTGCGCAAGGTGCAGCGTCCCTGCAGCTGCTCGGCGCTTCGCGACCCACGCCGCCGATGACTGGCAATACGTGTGCATCCAGGGAACTGCCTGTGAGGCGAACGCCGATGCCAGCCGCACGGATCGGCGACTGCGGCCACGAGCTGGAGTGAGCCTGGTCAAGGGGGACCTTTGGTGCGCGGCTCTCTGCGGCCGTGGGGAGGCCCCCAACAAAAACCAGCCACGCAGGCCGCTGCTGGGGGACCCCCCGCGGGCATGCGCCGAAGGTCACAATGTCGAAGCCGACGAGGAGGAGGAGGAGGAGGAGGAGGAGGAGGAGGAGGAGGAGGAGGAGGAGGAGGAGGAGGAGGAGGGGAGGAGGAGGAGGGGAGGAGGGGAGGAGGAGGAGGAGGAGGGGAGGAGGAGGGGGAGGAGGAGGAGGAGGAGGAGGAGGAGGGGGAGGGGCGGGGGAGGTGGCGCACGGGGTCTCGCACACGCAGCCGACGACTGCGGCGGCGCGGAGAGGCGGCCGGGCGCCTCGGGCGCCGCCGGCGCCGCCTCTTCGGCACCCGCCTGCGGCGGCCGTCGCCCTCGGCGCCGTGGGCGCCGAGGGCGACGGCGTCTGCGGCGGCGGCACGCTGCGGAGCCGGCGGCGGCGGCGGCGGCGGCGGCCCCGGCCGCCGCGACCGCGGCGGCGATGCCAGGGACGGCGTCCGCGCGACGGCATGGGGGCCGCCGGCGGCCAGCGGCGGCAGCGGCGGTGGCAGCGTCGTAGGAGGACAAGGGCCTCGACGACGCCGACAGTGTCTGCGGCAGCGGCGGCGGTGGCGGCACTTGGGACGCCGACGACGTCGGCAGTCAGGAGGATTCCTCCTCAACGGCTCTAGGAGGTTTCCACTCTCTCTTGGCCTCCTCCTCGTCGCCACGGCTGGATCCAACTCGAGATCTCGGTCAGAGCACGACCCAGGCCAGGTCACGGGGTCGATCTTGAGAGGCGGCGGCGGCAACGACGACGACGACGACGAAGACGCCGACGAAAGCGACGACGAAGACGCCGACGACCACCACGACCACGCGGCCTTCCCTGCGCGAGTACCCAACAAGCAGGTCCCGCGGAACCCTTTGGCGACTCTTCCGCAGCGGCTGCAGAGAGGAGAAATAGACTGACGACGACGAGGCAGAAAGCAATCCTCTCCAAAATTGTCGGGAGAAGGCTTGGGAGGTCGAGGAAGTCACGCATATCTTCGCCGTCGTGCTGCTCGACCTCCTCGATCTCGTCCTCCTTTCGCTCCTCATCCTTCGCCATCCTCCCCCGTTCTTCCTCATCCTCCTGCTCCTCCTCGCCGTCATCAAATTCCCGTCCCCAAACGCGGGCAGGCAGCCCCCTGCCCCCAGTGAAATGAGTGCATGCGTCCCTCCAGGACACCTCTCTGGTTTTTTTACGCGTTCTTGTCTTTCACGACCTCCATTTCTTCCTCACGCTCCTCTTCCTCCAACTATCCTCTAAATACCTGTTGCTATCCCCCCATTCTCGGCCACGACCTCCTCCTCCTCCTCCTCCTCCTCATCCTCATCATCACATCATCATCATAATCATCATCATCATCATCATCACATCATCATCATCATCATCATCATCATCATCATCATCATCATCATCATCATCATCATCATCATCATCATCATCATCATCATCATCATCATCATCATCATCATCATCATCATCATCATCATCATCATCATCATCATCCGCATCCTCCTCCTCCGCCTCCTTCTCCTCACCCCCTGCTTGTGCTGTTCCTTCTCCTTCTCCTCCTCCTCCTCCTCCATCTGCTTCTCCTCCTCCTCCTCCTCCTCCTCAGTTGTTCCCTGCACCGCCTCGGTTTCCAGCTTGTCACCATCTCGACCTCCTCCTCCTCATCCATCACATCCTACGCTGTGGCCTCGCGCCCTCTTCGCGCCCTTTCTACTCACGTGGGACCATCAATTTTGTAATCGTCTAAATGTGACGCATTATCGATCCGGGTCGTGCGAGTGGGGGAATGAGCTACAAATGCAGGTTCGAGACCCCGAATGTCTAATCATGCACATTCAACAAACACACACGCACACGCTAGTCAGTCATTCGCCTCTGGCAATCATGTATCCCGCCGGCACTCCGTCTCGTGCGCCGTTTCCTCTGCCGAGGGCCCAGTACAAACCATGGCCCTCCTCCCCGAGCTCCCACCGTTATCCTCTCAACTCATCCTCGGCCTCCTCCCCGGCTGCACTTCTCATTCTCATCTCACCACTTATCCTCTTTCTCGAGGTTCTCCCTCATCATGTTCACCCCCATCGGGCGGCACCCTCCTTCTCCGCAGCATTGAAGCGCGAATAGTCGAAGCTGTAGTTGCTGGCTTTTCCAGGACCACGTGGCATCGCTACGCGCTCGGGGCAGCAGGATAACGGCAATACTGAGAGGCTCGAGAGAGAAAGAGACAGAGAGAGAGAGAGAGACAGAGAAGGAGATCCACCGGAAAGTTCGACTGCAAGCCGTGCAACATCAGCATTAACAAACACTGCCAAACCCTCCATCGTGGAAGCGTCGGACCAGCTCGTCTTACAGCATCCGCTCAATCGAGACCCTCGTGCGCGGATCAAGCCCGAAGATGAGACATGTGGGGGCTTCCGAAACCTTGAACCCAAAAATGCTGTCGTCTCTTGGGGGCGCATCTTTTTCTCCCGCCGCCTTCCGCCGGACGTCCGCCGCCTTCCGCGAGCGGAGGCGGCCTCGTTTCACTTCCACCGCCTCCCGCGGAGGGGGAGATGCCAACTCCATGCAACCCCCGAAGGCGAGGCCGCGTTGGGAACGCCTCATGCGGAGCACACTGGAGCGATGCAGGACCAGCGGCGACTTGATCCGCCACGCGTCGGGTGGGAAGAACCGACGCCCGCTGCCTCCTCCACTGCCGCGTGCGCCTGCTCTTCGACTCTGGCGGGTGGTAACGGGGGGGGGGGTGACCCACATGGGTTTGGACACCCGAAATGGGTACAGAAAGAATGGGTACAATGCCCAACAACAAATGTTGTTCCAAACCAACAGCGGCCGCTGTTGGGCAGGCGGCCTTCTGTCTCAAATGGACACAGGCCGCGGCGGCGCGGACAGCGAGTCCTGTTCAAAATGAACAGGAACTGCTGTTGGGCACTGTACCCATTATTTCCGTACCCATTTCGGGCGTCCAAGATGGGGGGTGAAGGAAACAAGGGGCCTTTTCGGGCCCCGTTTTGGGCTTCTGCTGGCTCCCACAGGGGCCCTAAAGGGCCCTCTTAGGGCCCTTTCCTTCCCCCCCATGACTCGCCATCGCTCGGACGTCCATTCCCTGTGCATTTTTCGACTTCGTGCGTGTATTTGTCTCGTAAAGTGACCCACAATGCTCCTCGATGGTCCTCGCCGAGAAAAGATGCACACGTCCGAGCGATGCCAAGATTAGGGTATGGCACCCGGGTCGAGAGCGAGTCTCTTCCGGTCGAAGCTAAGCGGGCCGCGCACAGCTTTAATTGACAGAGGGGGTGTGTGGAGGAAACAAGGGGCCTTTTAGGGCCCCGCTTCGGGCTTCTGCTGGCTCCCACAGGGGCCCTACTGGGCCCTCTCAGGGCCCTTACCTTCCCCCCCCATTGATTAGGGCACCCCCCATGACAGCCCGCCCGACATACCGGAGCGATGGAGGACGACCGGCGATCCGAGCCGCCACGCGCGTGCGGGCGGCAGCGTCGACGCCGACGGCCTCCCCCGAGGCCGCGCGCGCCCCCGCTCTCCTCGACGCCCCCCCCCCCCTTTTGGACCCCCCGGGCCTCGCCCGCCCCCCGCTCCCGTGGTTCCCGCTGGCCAAACTGAAGGGGCACAACAATAAATAGAAACAAATAAACCAGATCCCCCATAGGTTCCCATAGTTTCTGGGTGTTTGTCTTCCCCCCCACTCCCCATAATTTCCCATATTTTCGCATATTTTCCCCATGTTTTCCCACTTCCCATATTTTCCCTTTGGACCCCCCGGGCCTCGCCCGCCCCCCGCCGCTCCCGTGGCTCCCGCTGGCCAGACTAAAAGGGGCCCCAGGACACACACGAATGAATAGACACAAAGATTAAAACATGTTCCCCATGTGTTCCCATATATTTTCTGGGTTTTTGCCTTCCCCCCCACTTCCCATATTCTCCCACATTTTCCTGGAGGTCCACGATGACTTGTGTCTGTGTGTTTTTTCCCCCTCCTGACAAACTCTGAGCGACGGGGCTCGTAGCGTCCGAGACGTCGAACGGCAAGAGCGGCCTGATCCCTCCGCGCACCCAAGCAAAGGTTAAGGAATCCTCTGGCCCGCATGCGTCAGATCCTGTCAAACGCTCCCGGACTACGCTACGACAAGGAAGCTGCGGCTGCTGGCCGCCAGCCGCCAGAAACACAGTTCGAACGGCGAGAACCAATAGTATCATTAGACGTGCGCTTGTGAACTCCAACCCGAACTCTCATCACCTCGGCACACGTCGCTGGAGGATGAAGTGCGAAGAGGGTGCGAAAACGTTGTGGGACCCTCGCTGGCATAGAGCACTAGTCTTGCAGGCGTCGGCATGGGGTCCCCAGTCCCCTTCCACCTGCCTCATCCTCCTCCTTCTCCTCCTCCTCCTCCCCCTGCCTATGCTCATATCCACATCTTTCTCCCCTTCTCCTGCCAATCCCATCCTCTTTCCCCGCCTCCCCCTTATTCGTGGCCTCCCTCTTTTCCACCTCCCCATCCCCCTCGTCCCTGCACCTTCCTTCCGCTGCCCCACCAGGGAAAGGGGGGCGGGCGGAAGGTGGAGGCGCGGGAGGAGCATGCGACGACGTCGACGACAACAACAGACACGACGAGTACGACGACCACGACAACGGAGACGACGACAAAGACGACAACGACGACGGCCACGACGACGACGACGGCGACGGCGACGGCGACGGCGACGAAAAAGACGACAACCACGACGACGACGACGTGTACGGCGACGACGACGACGACGACGACGACGACGACGACGACGACGACGACGACGTGCCCGCGGCGGCGCCTGCGGGCCGCCAAGCGGGGGAGGGGCGGAGGGCGGAGGAGGGCGGGCTGCAGGCAGCCAGGGGCGCGTCCGAGCCACCGAGCGGGGGGGGGGGTCGTCGCCAGGAGGGGAGGAGGAGGAGGAGGAGGAGGAGGAGGAGGAGGAGGAGGAGGAGGAGGAAGAGGAGGTGGAGGAGGAGGAGGAGGAGGAGGAGGAAGAGAAGGAGAGGGAGCAGTACCTGCCTAATCAGTGCTGTCTTCGCGGCAAGGAATGGTGCGTGCTGGCTCTGGCCGGCGCGGGGGGGGGGGTCGTCGCCAGGAGGGCGGCCGCCGCCGCCGCCGTCTCCCGGGCACGGCCGCTGTCGGCGTCGTGACCGACGCCGACGTGTCCGCGTCGGCCCCGTCCCCGTCGTTGTCGTCGTCGTCGTCGTCGTCGTCGTCGTCGTCGTCGTCGTCGTCGTCGTCGATCGGCGGCGGCGGCGTCGGCGTCGTGAGGAAGCGGAGGCAAAGGAGGAAGCGATGCAAGGGGGGGGGGGGGGAAGCGGGATGAAGTGGGGGATGAGGAGGGGCCCCAAGCGCTTTCGCACCATGTGCTGTGTCCGTGTTGGTTTGCATTCGATTCGTGAGGGGAGGGTTTTGTTGAATGCCCGGGGGCGCCAGCAGTGTTCAGGGTTCCAGGAGAACGTAGAGGGAGGAGGAGCAGGAGGCGAGCGAGGAGGCCGCCACGGGGGGGAGGAGGGGATTAATGAGCAGAACGGAAGACGAGGGAGGGGAAGAAGGAGCAGGCGGAGGAGGAGGAGGAGGAGGAGGAGGAGGAGGAGGAGGAGGAGGAGTGAGTAAACGGGTGAACGAGCAGTACTGGGGGGGGACGAACACTGGAAGTAGCAAGAAAAGGGGAGCAGGAGGGACAGAGGTGGGAAGAGCAGGACGAGGAGGACGAGGGAACAAGGATGGGGAGGGAGGATGATGAGGAGGAGGAGAACGAGGAGAACACGAAAATGAAGCAACCCCCCTCGCATCCCGCGAGCAGGGAGAGCAATCCTGCCCGCGAGCCAGAAGGCACACGGCCGCGCCGAGCGCAACCTGAAATCCCGCCCCCCCCTCCACCAGCGACTGGGAAGGACCGAACCCAGTCAATAAAATAGACATGCATAATGGAAGGAAAGAGGAGGAGGAGGAGGAGGAGGAGGAGGAGGAGGAGGAGGAGGAGGAGGAGGTTGAGGTTGAGGAGAAGGAGCAGGAGAAGACGCGAGGAGGCCTCCAGGAGGACAAGGAGGAGCAGTGTATGGGAGCGTGGTGGAGGAGGAGGAACGAGGAGGAGGAGGAGGAGGAGGAGGAGGAGGAGGAGGAGTAGGGACGAGGCTGAGGAGGAGGAGGAGGAGGAGGTGGAGGAGGAGGACCAGAGTAAACCCAAGAGTCATCAACGATGTTGGAATAACCCCCCCTCCAAGCTCCTGCTCATAGGCTCCTGCACCGGTTCACTTCCGCTTAGGGAACTGCCTCCTTGGAAGGCATCCGTTCGAAGACCCTTAGCATGCCAAAACATTGTTCTCGGGATCCCAACGCCACGGATCAACCTGACTGTTGCGTATAGACAATCCTGAACCGTGCCAGAAAACTATTCCTGGGACTTTAACTGTTGCACCCTCATGGTCCTGAATCCTCCCAGAACATAATTTCTCGTACGCTGACCATGGGAATCCGTGAAACTTGCAGAACTTGCGCGGCGCTGAAGCGAGAGCCACATTATGAAAAGGAGCCGCCCTCAATCCATCAAACTCCTGCTACTTTTTTTCAAACGAATGCACGCGGCGCAAGGGCGAGAACCACAGTTTGGAAACGGGCCGCCCTGAGCCCGTGAAACCTTTGCGAATGTTTAAAATGAATGTGCGCTGCGCTAAAGCGCGAGCCACATTTTGAAAACGACCTGCCCTCCATCTGTGAAGCTCTTGCACATGAACGAATGTGCACGGCGCCACGGAGAGAGCCACATTTTGAAAACCACCCGCCCTCCATCTGTGAAACTGCTGAAAAATTCAGGCTTCCGGGCATAAGTGATGAAGAAGTCTCAGGCGAAACGCACAACCCGCCCTAGAAACTTGCCTCGGGGTGCGACAGGGAGTAACTACTGATAAGGAAAAAAACGGAAGAGGAGGGCCTCGGGGCGGAGGGCGAGGAGGCGGCCCCACGGCGCCCTCAGCCTCACCCTGAAGCCCCCTGCGAGATCGCACGAGCCGCCGCCGCACTCCACCTCCTCGTCATCATGCTTCTCGGCCTCCTCGGCCTCCCCCTTCCCTCTCCCAAACACCTCGGCCTCCTCCTCCTCCTCCTCATCATCCTCCTCCTCCTCCTCCATCTCGGCCTCCTCGCTC